CGATTGATGCGTGTGGGTGCGGTGTCCGCAACGTCTTCCTCAAGCATCTCACGTGGAAGCCGTCGATGTGGGCCAGCTCGTGCTTCCGAAGCTGCGCCGCGTGCAAGCCGCACAGCAGGTTTGTATGCACGCAGGCTCCGAAGGCGTGCCATTTCTCGCTGCGCGGTGAAGTCGGCATGGGACCAGACTCGGACCAGGGTGTCAAGCTCGGATCTAGCCCAACCGAGTCGCCTTCTCAGCTCAGAAGCAATGGATCCATAGGCCGCCAAGGCACTCCGCAAATAAACCATGGAGTCCTTTTCGGGGATCAGGGCACCGTCAGGCCTCGTCACGTGCCCCTGGCACCCAACTGGCAGCCACTCGAGCTTGCCCCAATCGAACTTTAGGCCGTAGTTCTCGCCAGCGGCAGCTGCAGCCACCACGTATGACTGCGCACGCTCCGCGCTCGTGGCCACGATGAGGGTTCCATCGTTGAAATTACACTAGCTCTTCCGTGTCTTCCATGCGCTCCCCCAATATGTCCCTGGCGTCGCGCAGCAGCACCGTCATCACCATGACGAAGAGGAACGAAGCGAGAGGGCAACCTTGACAAATGCCTGCGTGCTGCTCGCGGGTCCCGGACGTTGCGTCGGCCTCGCGAACCGCGAGCTCCCTGCCCGTGTAGATGGCCCAGTCATTGTCAACATGCTCTCTGGGACCCCGAAGCGCTGCAATGCTCGCAGCAGTGGCGCCGGCGTGACGCCATCATACGCCCTGGCCCGGCCCAGGGCGACGAGCACGAGCTGGCCCTCCGTGCTCGCCCGCGTCTCCTCCGGCCGTCGCCTGGCGAGGCAGATGGGGTCCGTGGGGCCGTGGCGCGATTGGAAGCCAAATGGGGTGCCCCAGATGCGTAAAACGACGCGAAGATCGGGACAAAATCGGATCGGGATAACTCGAAATCTCTGAGAATCGGCGGGTTTGGAGGATGTATTGGGAGCCGCGGCCGCTCCAGAGCGTTCCGGAACGCTCTGAGAGCGCTCCGGAAAGCTCTGGAGCGATTTATCCCGATCCTGGCCCTGTTTTAGGCACGCTGGCCTGTAGTTGCCACAAGGCGTAGCGTCTTCCTTCTTGTTGAACGCATCAAAGACTAATGGCTGGCACGGCCCCCTGGTCCCAGCATCGATGGCACAATGCTAAGGCCCACGCTCTCGCCAGGGCGTCGCGGGTGCAGACCGTTTTCCAGAAGTCGCTGGGGAGTGCCGTCATTGCCACGTCGTGCCGCACCTCATGCGTTTGGTTGCTTCGGTCACCTCCCAGTCCTCGATCTGCCCCAGTTTCACCAGCAAGTCGGCAGTCCGCCAGCGTGTCCGCGCGGTCCTCGAAGTCAACCAGGTCGCCGTGGTGAAGGTCGCGAAGCTTGCCCTGCTTCCGCCCAGCCCCTTTACCCAATCGTCGCACCTGGTCCCATTCGGTCGTCGCCAGAAGGTGTTCCAGCCACTCTGCCCTGTCCCTCTTTACAGAGCTCTACACGACGTATTTCAGGCGCCTCTCTTCGACTAGGTTGCCGCGTGCCCTGGCCTCGGTACGCTTCTCGATCAGCGACACGGTGCGGTCCGAGATCCACGGTCTCCGCGGCGCTGGCGGCGCAAGAGGTAGTACGGCGGTTGCCTGTTTGAAAGAAGCCACCGCTGCTGCCGTGTCGATGTGGTCGACAGCGGTGTCGCCCACGTCCGTGGCCTCCATCTCGTCGGCGAAAGCCGCGGCAAAGCGGGCGGCATGTCCCGGCAGCCAGAGTGCCCGCAAGTTGGGCCGAGGCGGTTGCTCTCGGCGGGCCTCGATAGGCACCATGATATCCATGTCCGCGTGCACGAGGAAGCGGTGGGACGCCACTGCCAGATCCTTGTTGCTTGCCACCGATTGCAAATGTGCACAGAAGCCAAAGACGAATTCGATCTGGCCGAAATTGTTCGGAGCGGCTGGGTCAGATGGCTTGTTGCCCACAGTTTAGCTGGTGACTTGGCGATGTGCCAGTTCATGGACGGGGGTGAGGGGTGAGGTCCCTGATGATGGAGTGAGCGCGCAACTCTGCCCACGCAGTCAACTCGCCGTGCCACTGGTAGTCAACGTCGCGATCCTTGATTCAAGATTCAAGGGGAAAGAACCACCCCGACCCCCATGATTGGCGTTTACTAAACGGCCCTGGGTGTTTACTAAACAGTCCTGCCCTGCTCGATTCCACCCGAAAACCTCGAGCATCGACGCCCAGACCCCCGACGTCGTGATGTTTGTTCACAACGTCGACCCCTCGAGGTCTGGACCGCCTCCTCTGGACCGGTTTTTCCTGCCGAGTAGTTCTTGTGCACGGCCCCGAGGCCTGGCACAGGGTCCCCATGAGGCCGAAAATGGCCCAAGACCTCCCGCCACCTCGCGAGTGGATCTTGGCTCGTCTCCGCCCCCCATTCTCGAAGAAGAGAAAACGGCATCCCTCCTCCTCGTCCTCCTCCTCTTCCTCCTCCTCCTCCTCCTCCGCCTCTCCTCCTCCTCCCTCCCCTCCTCCTCCTCCCCTCCTCCCTCTCTCCCCTCCTCCTCCTCCTCCTCCTACCCTCCCTCCTCCTCTCCTCCCCCCTCCTCCCTCCTCCCCCCCCTCCTCCTCCTCCTCCTCTCCGTCCTCCTCCTCCTCCTCCTCCTCCTCAGCAGCAAAGGACACGGTTCCGTCTCGCCCTCCTCCTCCTCGCACATGGCCAGCTCCACGTGTCAGTCAGCGCCGGCGCGCGGATTCCTTGGATCCGCGCTGGGTCCACCCGGCGGCGCCTCCGGGGAGGGGGTCCAGCGCGCATCCGAGGAAGCCGCGCGAAGCACCAAAAGCTAATGTTTCTGCAGCTTTTTCCTCCGCTGTGGCCCTGCACCTTCGTCCCCCCCCCGCCTCCCTCTTCGTTGAGCAGTGGCGAAGCGTCCTGGCTTGCCTATAAGCCCATAGCCCGCCAAAGAATGTCCAAGGACCCTTTTGTGGTCTGCAGGAAGTGCCCCTCGGAGGCCGAACATAATGAGAGACCTCCCGCCGTGACTTTGTCGCAGCGCGAGGGGGCCTTGGCTGGCGCCCCCCCCCTTATCGCTGCCCCTCGCCTCGGCTCCCGGCGCCGCGCGGCGTGGCGGCTCGCAGGGGGCTGCGCCGCCGCGCTCCTGGCCCTCGGCGCCGCCGCGGCGGCGTTGGCGCCTCTGATGGGCCAATCTTCCACCACCACTGCCGTGGGTAGTACAGGGGAGAAGGGAGGACGGGGAGGCCCTCCTCCTCCTCCTCCTCCTCCTCCTCCTCCTCCTCCCTCCTCCTGCTCCTGCTCCTCCTCCTCCTCCTCCTCCTCCTCCTCCTCCTCCTCCTCCTCCTCCTCCTACCTGTGGTGTGTGGTGTGGGGAATCGGCCCATCGGCCTCGCTCTGGGGGTGCCGGCTCCTCCTCGTCGCGTGTGCTCGGCGCCCGTGGTCGGCCACAGCGGTATGGCGCATCCCTGAATTTAGCGGCCGAAGGACGGTATCATCAGTCCGGGGAGGAAAAGTTACCCATACCTCGAAGTAGAGGAGACGGCATAAACATAAGTTTGTGGCGCTCCGCGCGGATTTCTTGGATCCGCGCTGGGCTCCCCCAGCGGCGCCTCTGGCGCCGCCCCTGGCGCGCTCCGCGCGCCAGGGAAGGGGGTCCATTGCAGATCCAGGGAACCCGCGCGGAGCGCCAAAAGTTGATGCTTACGCAGTTTGTTCTTCTTCTAATACTTCGGTAGCAAATCATGGGAGCCTGGTGGACCCCTTAGTTCCGTCGTTCGCATCGACTAGCGTCGATTAGCGTCCAGGAGTCGATGAGGCAGCGCCGATTTAGCGTCGGCTAGCGTCGATTTAGCGTCGGTTAGCGTCGGTTAGCGTCGAGTCGCAATAGCCGACAAGATGGTGTGTAATGCTCCCATTAGTTGCCTCCGAAGTAGAATGAGTCACGGGAGGAAAAGGTTTCCATACCGCGACCCTTCTCCTCGTATTCCCCTCCTCGGGCCTCCTGGGAGGCCCTCGTCGCCACGGCCGGATTCGCTTCGAAATTCTGGTCAGAATGCGGCCCGGGAGAGGTCCGGGGAGTGGGCATGCCTGCATGTAGCGTTCGAAGGACGGTATACTTTCGCGGCGCGCATAGGGGGGTGGGGGAAGGGGGAGGGCTTCTTACAAGAAGACTGCTTTCTAAAAGGTGCCGGCCCTGCATCCACAGAAAAGGCCTGCGCCTTCTAAGACGCAGGGGTGTTTCTAAGAAACCATGGCCTCCCCCCACCCACCCTGCGCGTGGCGGAGAAATCCGAGGCGGGCATTTGATTGGCTCGAGTGCCGCAGCCGCAGCATCGAGGCCTACCCCCAGGGCGAGGGGGCGTTCTGCTCCCCGCGCGTCAGGGGCGAGGGCATGCCCTTGGTGAATTGCCGCGGCCGCCCCGCGGGGGAGGGCGCAAGCGGTTCCTCCGAGGCGGAGGTGTATCCGCCACCACCGCCAGGGGGGGCATGGATCTTTGAGGACCTCGGCAGGCGGTGGATGTGGGTATTCCTCGCCCCCTGAGGTCAGTCCATATCCGCGGCCCGCCGGCTTCCCCGAGGATGATCCCCCACGCGGTGAGAGTGGATAAAGTCCCCGCCTCGCGGTGTAAGGTGGACTCCTGCTCGGATCGCGGCAAAAATCACGACGGAAGTTTTTCTACATCTTCGGCTTCCCAGGGTCCTCGCCGGGCCCCCGGGCAGTCAAAAAGCGGCTTGCGATGAAGAACCGATCCCTGGGGTGGGGGCTCCAGACCTCTGGAGAGCCAAGTTGCGAAACCATCATGGCGTTGGATGCACGTTTCCGCCCGGGTAAGATGAGTGTTTCCGCTCTCGGGAACGCCTGTCCCAGGGCGGCCGGAAAGCTTGCACCGCTACTGCGTCACGTCTGTGTAACGACTTTCCAGCCGCCAGGGGTCCCCGATGGCAGAGCAATTCATCTTGTACCGTTCATTGGTCGCTAATGAATGCAGAGGTCCAGGGGTCAAGCGGCTGGCCGCAGAATCTGAGCAGCCGTGCGGATGCAGAGCCAGTTCTGGGCCTGAGGGGCGGGCTCGGGTTTGGCCACAACACCGGCTTGGTGAACGAGCTTCTTGCGCTGTTCGGTGTTGTCATGCATGCTCGTGAGCACGGTATCCGGTACATATCGGGGGACACTTTGAAGTTTTATGATGGCTGGGATGCGAGTGATGGAAATACTGTGTCATTTGCAAGCCTATTCAATGTCACGCACTGGAACTCGAGAGCGATGCGAAATCAATCAATGCCATTGCCATTAATTGTGTTTTCACGGCAGGTCACAGCATGGATTAGGGCTAAGACCGTGGCCTTGCGCGCCTTCGAGGAGGCCGATGTCATAACAGCGAGCGGCGATCCGTCGGTCTGCTGGTTCTGGCAGTCTCTGAGACCCGCGGCCCCGCTGATGAAGGCAGTGGAGTCCGTGAGACCAGTAGGGATGTACGGGGTTCTCCACGCCCGGATCGAGAATGATTTGAACACGCCAGGAATTCCTGCAGTCTTCAGGACTGACCGGCTGTCTCTGCCCACCATTTACGGCATGATATCGAATTTCTCACATCCATGTCTCTCGCGTCCAGACAGATTCTACATGTGCGTTATGGCTTCGGATGTTACAGAGCCCGAGGAAGCATCGATGTTGGAAAGACGGCTGACACCTTGGCAGAACGTATCACTGGAGCTGAGAGGTTCAGAAGCCGTTCGCCAAGCGGGCTTAGAAGGCTCGAAGGTTCAGGGCGCGGTTCTTGATCCAAGACGCTTCGCGTTCGCCGCCCGCCCACCCTGGCTCTCACCGGAGGAGTCGAGGATGGGCCCAATACAGTCGGGGCCCTGAAGAAGGAACCCTTTTCGTTGGGGAGGGGCTCCGCGTTCTTTAAGTGTTCCGCAGCTTGCCTCAGGTTTTCCTGAGGTTTTCGATGGGAAATCAAAGCTTAACTCGTGGGAAAAAGGGGCCTCTTTCCTTATTTTGGGTTCCTTAGGTCAAGGCCCCGACTGTACGGGATGAAGATGTGCCAAAGGAGGGCACAGACGATCGCCCGCGGGCTTGTTTTGTACTCCGCCCCACGCTCCATGCTCTTCCATCCCAGCTCCGGTTGGGCTCAGACGCGTCGCGTGGCTGATCGATGGCTGGATCATCGTCTGGCCCTCGGTCCGTCGCCCGCACCATCGGTCCGTCACCAGGGTGCCTCGTGCGAGTCCATGCCTTCTCGTGCGTGCGCATGGCCCGGGAGTGGCACCGCGAGCCTGTCAGGCACGCGTTTTTATGCATGGCCAATGTCAGGAGGGAAAGGAACACACAGACACAATTAATCGTCGACTCCCAGGAAAATACATAAAATGATACCAGAGAAAAACCCCAATCAGAATTTTGGGGGGGCTATGGGGCTTTAGGGCTTTATGGCTATGGGGCTATAGGGCTATAGGGCGATGTGGCCATAGGGATTTAGGGCAAGAAGCCTTTAGGGCTATGGGGCTATAGGGCTACAGGGCTATAGGGCTGTAGGGCTAAGGGCTATAAGACTATTCGGGCTATAAGGCTACAGGGCTATATACGGCTATAGGGCGTTAGGATCATAGGGCTATAGGGCTATAGGGCTATAGGGCTATAGGGCTATAGGGCTATAGGGCTATAGGGCTATGGGGCTATGGGGCTACTGGGCTATTGGGCTATTGGGCTATAGGGCTGTACGGCTATAGGGCTATAAGATTATAGTGCTATGGAGATATAGGGCGATTGGGCTATTGGGCTATAGGGATATAGGGCTATTAGGCTAGGCACCCCCGGGCACTTCTGGGCACCCTGGGCACCCGGGCACCCCTGGGCACCCGGGCACCGGGGCACCCCCGGGCACCCCCGGGCACCCGGGCACCCGGCCCCGGCCACCGAAATCGGCCACACACCTGGGCACCCGGGCACCCCCCGGGCACCCCCGGGCACACCCCCGGGCACCCCCGGGCACCCGGGCACCCGGCCCCGGCCACCGAAATCGGCCACACACCCGGGCACCCCCGGGCACCCCCGGGCACCCCCGGGCACCCGGGCACCCGGCCCCGGCCACCCGGGCAATCGGCGGCACAGACTACCTAACCTTTTAATCCGCTAGAACCCCTATAGAGGCAAGCTCTGATTGGGGAAATATGGGAATTGGGCGGGAAGACAAAAACCCAGAAAATATGGGAAAATATGGGGGATCTTTTTATTTGTGTGTATTTATCTGTGTGTCCCAGGGCCCCTTCACAATGGAGAATGGTTGGCGAGAGAGCGGGCGGGCGCCGGCTGCGACCTTCATCGCAGCGCGCCAGCGGAAATCGGTCACAGGGAGGCGGTTGCCATGGCTCTCTTTGCTTTGTCTCCATGGCAGAAAGCCAGCAATAGCCAGAGAGCGGTACCAGCATTGTGTCGAGGCACCAGCAAAAGCCCCAGCAGCCGGCAGCCCAGGAGGGCTTTCAGACAGCCCGACCGCGAGGGTCTGTGCCCGAGTGCAGTCCGAGTTGCGTCTGCTGCGGTCGTGGGTCTGGGCCAGTTTGGGCCCCGCTTTGGGCCCAAAGATGGAGTGCACCCAAAACGGCGTAAACAGAAATTTCGATTGGCGAAACGCTACAGGCGAGACCGAACATCTGCGATATGTGGGAGGTCCCCGGGCGACCCCCCGACCAGCCGAAGCTTCTTCGACACGTGGAGGTTTCGCAGTGCCATCGACGATTCCGGCTTGCTGGCGAACTTGGGCAGAGATGCGATCTTTGGGGCCTTCGGAGCCGATGTTGGAGGCCAGAAAGGGGCCAGGAATAACGACAATGGGGTGAAACCAGTTCCGGAAGAGTGTTGGGAATGATTTGGAAAACCAGTTGGATGCCGTCTGGGAGGCGTGTTGGGTGCCCAAAGAAGGATCGGATGCAGCCTGTCGGCGAACCGGAGGGAACAAAAGGGTGAGGGGAGGATTGAGGTTAAGTCGGGCATGTCCTTCTACAGGAGGAATACTCAAGAATGGTGCAGCATTTGTCAGGTGGGGATTTTTCGTTATCGTTTCATCATGGTTGGAGAATGTTTGGACCGTGTCTTTTGCTCTTCCGAAGTCCGCCTGTAGGGCTGAGATCAAGGTCCTGAGAGGAGTGCTCGAAGCTCGATCCCCATCGCCCCTCCACCTGGCGGGTTGGGCGGGCTCAAGTCAGGAGGAGAAAAAACACACAGACACAATTAATCGGCGATTCCCAGAAAATATGGGAACATGTGGGAAGTGGGGGGGAAGACAAAAACCCAGAAAATATAGGAACATATGGGGGATGTTTTTATTTGTGTTTATTTATTTGTGTGTCCCAGTTTCCCTTCATCAAGGAGCTCATTTTTGTTGTTGGCGCCGACCCCCAGAACAAGGCAGGAAGGGGGCGAGCGTGAAGGGTGGGCGGGCGCCAGCCGGGCTGCACGGGTGGCCCCTGGGCGCCGCAGAGCGCAGGCGGGCTGCGAGGAGCGACCCTGGCGATGGAGGGGCCGGGGGGGCCGGGGGGGAGAGGGACAGAGTCGGAGGGCACCAACTATACACCAACACCGATCCTGGCCAGGATAGGTGTTGGTGTATAGTTGGTGCCTTCCTACAGAGGGCAGGGTTCTGGACGCCCGAAATGGGTACGGAAAGACTGGGCACAATGCCCAGCAGCAGCTCCTGCTCCTCTGGAACAGGACTCGCGGTCCGCGCCTTCCGCGGCCTGTCTCCATATGAAACGGAAGGCCGCCTGCCCAACAGCGGCCGCTGTTGGTTTGGGACAACATTCCCAGAGGGTCGTGGCCCCCATGTCATAGGCACGGTACCCATGAGTTGTTATGTACCCATGATGTTTGCATGTAAGCGCGTGGGTCCTATATATTGAGCACGCGGGATTGCCGATGCTGATTCCGAGGCAGTGGCCCCGAGCATCTATGTTATAGGCACATGTATATGTATATATATATATGTATATATGTATACATACATACATGTATTTATATATATATATATATGCTATACACACGTATATTCTATACATATATATGTATATATACACATACAAATGTAGTTTACAGCCATTGTGGCCCAGGCATATTTCATGGGAGTCACCCGCAGAGGGATGCCCCCGAAGGGGGCCATCGCTTCCAGGGATGTCGCGGGCATGCAGGCAGCCCTGACGCCCTTCGCGGCCGCGCCGCCGATCGTGAAGGATTGCTCTCCTTCTCGTTTCTCTTTCTTCTGTCTGAACCTCGCCCCTCCCCCCCGCCCCCGCAGAAGTTCGCGAACACGGTGAAGGCCAGGCATGCCGCGATGAGGGAGCACAAAGAGCTGCTGGTGGCGCTGTGCAAGGCGCGCAGCTGGAGGGGGACTGGGATCGAGGCAAGAAGCTAGGCATGAGAGAGGAAACGACACACGCAAACACACACACACACACACACACGCACACACACACACACACACACACACGCACACGCACACACACACACACACGCACGCACGCACACGCACACGCACACGCACACGCACGCGCACACGCACACGCACACGCACACGCACGCGCACGGACACACACACGATCACACACACACGCACGCACGCACCCCCACACACACAGACACACACACACACGAGACAGGTGGACGACAAGCTGTATTTCGCGAAGCCCTGCGTGGCCAAGGCCGTGGGGAAGGTGGCGGTCGACACGGCGTGGCAGGCCACGCGGGGGCGATGACCCGAGGAGGAATATATTCGGAGGAGGAGGAGGAGGAGGGAGGAAACGTAGGAGTAGGAGTATTATAGTAGGAGTAGGGCTAGGTATATAGGAGTGGTATATCCATATATATATATATGTAGCATCGGGTCTATAGGAGCAGCGCGGCGGGGGGGATCCATGACCTGCGGCTGGGGCCAGCCCAGGTGAAGAAGACAGAGGCCAAGGAGACGCAGCAGAAGATCGCCGAACGCATCATGGGTCTATGCCAGGACACGGCCTCAATCTCGGATACATATACATGTAGATGTACGTGTGCATATATATATATAAATATATGTACACATCTACATCTACAACCACATCTACGTCTACATCTACATCTGCATCTATACATCTACACAAGTACGTATATCTACATGAAAACATGTATACACATATATATATATATATGTACATTCACCCCTCTCCTCGACGCTGGCCCCCCCTCCCCGAGGAGGTGACGAGACGGGCGCGGAGGAACAGGATGTCGGCGGCTGATCTCCTCCAGCAGGCCGCTCTCCTCTTCTGGCTGCTCCTTCGACTCGCCCTCAGCCCCCCTTTCTCCCCGTCCACGTCCTCTTCCGACTTACTGGTGATGATGGTGATGAGGATGATGATGATGATGCTCATCATCATCCTCATCGTCGTCATCGTCATCTTCATCAGCATCATCATCCATCTCCTCGTCCGACGTTTCTTTCTGACTCATCTTCTTCGCTCCCTCGTTTCCTGCCTCGTTGCGCTTCCTTCGCTCATCTTCGCTAGCCAACTGCGCGGGCGGTCATTCTCCTCGCTTCCCCCCCCCCTAGGCCGCCGACAACGACGACGACTCGGTCGACGTAGCGCTGGCCGACAGCTTGTTGGAGGCCGCCTTCGACGACCCCGAGGGCGACGAGGACGCAGAGGAGGAGGAGGACGCCGCCGAGGACGACGAGTTGCAGGACGAGGAGGTCGATCCGCCTGATCTGGCGATCCCCCTCCTCCTTCCTCCTCCTCCTCCTCCTCGTTCTCGCCGTCCTCGATC